AAAATCATGACCCCCGGGGGTAGAGTGGGGGCCAAAATGGCCGACCAAAGTTTTACATAGAAACATACATGTATAGATAGGAAAATTCTTTAAAAATCTTCTTTTCAAAACATAATTGATCATATTTTATATGGAAGGATCCTCAGGTTGTAAAGATTCATGTTTGTTCAAATCATGACCCACTGGGGTAGGGCAGGGCCAAAATGGCCGACCAAAGTTTTACATGTACATAGAAATATATAGGAAAATTCCTGAAAAATCTTCTTCTAAAGATAAGCAAAGCCATAATTGATCATGTCTATTTGGAAGCATCCTCAGATTGTGTAGATTTAAATTTATTCAAATCATGAGCCCCGGGGGTAGGGCGGGGTCAAAATGGCCAATCAAAGTTTTACATAGAAATATATAGGATTTTTAAAAAGATTCCTCTCAAGAATTGCAAAGCCATAATTGATCATATTTTAATGAAAGCATCCTCAGATTGTGTAGATTCACGTTTGTTCAAATCATGACCCCCAGGGGTTGTGTTTCTCAAAAATCCAATCAAAGTTTTACAAGACTGTATAGGATTCTTTAAATAATCTTTATGTTCAAAGGGGTTGGGCTGTGTACAAATTCATTCAAATCATAGGCCCCAGGAGTAAACAAACAAGGCCGATCAAAGTTTTACATAGAAATATATAGGAAGATTCTTTAAAAATCTGCGTCTCACGAATAGCAAAGCCAGAATTGATCAAATTTATATGGAAACATTCTAAGGTTATGTAGATTCAAGTTTGTTCAAATCATGACCCCCAGGGGTAGGGCGGGACCAAAATGGCAGATCAAAGTTTTACATAGACATATATATTAGGAAAATTCTTTACAAATCATCTTCTCAAGAATAGCAAAGCCATGATTGGTCATGGGACTACTTTTGGATTTAAACTTTTCAATAACAAACCAATTTCTACTTTTTTCCTAGCCACAGTGCTCAGGTGAGCGATGTGGCCCATGGGCCTTTTGTTTCGATCAAACATTGTTTAGTGTCCATCTGTCTGTGAACTTTACATATTTTGACTTCTTTATCAAGAAATTTGCCAATCATGGCCCCTGGGTGAGGGGGGGGGGGGCAATATTGAATGAAACTTTTAAATTAGAATATATTGAGAAAAAATCTTCATGTTAAAGAACCACTAGATCAGAAATTATGAAACTATGTGACTTTTTGTGTTTCTAAAAGTCATCTCACAAATCTATATAATTTTCAAACAAACTGTTCAGATTCTGAATAATCTTTAGTTCAAGGTGTACAAGGTTGTATGAAGATAGAGGCAACCGAGAATGATGTAATTGGAAATTATAAAAGGTGTTAAATATAGGATAAAGTCCAAAATATATTCTAGGAAGTAAACAAACAAGGAGACGAGTCCTTGATGAGACTGTAGCTCTTATGCTTTTAATAAGACAAAGATGGAGAAAGGTATCACTTGGACTTGAAATTATGGCAACTGTGATAAATAGAAAATGATCCTTTGCTTATCCCTTAAAGTCAAATTGCAATTGCAGAACAGTTTTTGTAAAATGAATGACATTTTGAAAAAAAAATCAAGATTTGTATGCTCCTCCATAATATAGGCTGGGGCATATAGTGTATGTAATGTCCGTCCTTCCGTCTTTCCGTCCCTTTGTTCTTCCGCCTGTCCGCCTGTCCTTCCGTCACACTTTGCGTTTAGCTCAGTTCAAAGCTCAGTTTCAAAGAAACTATCCAAGATATTTTCATCAAACTTCGTATTCTGATAAATAATCATAAGAGCTATGCAACTGCATCAACATTTTTTTTTACCTTGACCTTTCCTTTGACCTTGACCTCACTTTTCTTAAATTAGTGTAATTTTAGTTCAGTTTTAAAGAAACCATTCAAGATTGTGTTAACAAACTTCACATGATGATACACAGTTATGAGAGCTTTGCAAATGCATCAACTTTTTTAACCTTGACTTTTCCTTTGAGCTAGACCATAAATTTTCTTATAGTAGTGTTTTGCTCAGTTTTAAAGAAACCATCCAAAATATTTTATCAGACTTCATATACTGATGCTACTCAACAGCTTCAACATTTTTGACCTTGGTCTTTCCTTTGACCTTGACCTCACTTTTCCTAAAATAGTGTCAAACTTCATATGGTGATACATACTGATGTAAGCAATTCAACTGCATCAGCATTTTTTACCTTAAAATTGACCTTGACCTTACTTTTCTGAAATTGTCAAACGTTTATTTTTGCTTAACATCAACTGCATGCATTTTTTACCTTTAAATTGATACACTTTTCTGATTAAATCAATTAAATTCTGATCACAATTAAAGATACTCTTCAAATTTCTGATTTTCAAAATTTTCAAGTCATAAATAAGATACCCTCAGCGGTGCATTCATTTTGTTTATTTCTAGTTTTCTAATAACCATGGCAACACTATTCATTAAAACCAGAAAACTGATGTACGGATTTATGTACTTTAGTGTAGCCCACTTGAGTACCTAGTTATACTGAAATGGGATAAATCTGTAGGTGTTTATAAAAAATGATGAATTTTTATATATATATATACCATATAATTATATATATATCTATATATATATATATATATTATATATATATATATATGTTGTGCTTATATGCCAAGTTGAATTGAAATTGGACTCTAAATGTAGGAGGAGTAACAATTTTGGGGAAAAAGGTGTTACAGACAGATACATTTCTATTGTATAAGCTTTTCCCGTCATTGACCAGTGGAGCTAAAAATGACAAAACCTGATCCTTGATCTCAGACAACCAAATTAACTGAAATCTTTAACCTGGGAGAAATGTGCTTACAGTTAAAAAATGGTTTAAAGCCTACTATTAAGTAAATGTGCATTAGTAGAGATAATCTGAGATTCTTTTATAAAATTTTCGTTTGACCAAACTTGTCACTGCATACATGAATGCGTTCATTTGTATATCCAGAGTTCATAAACCTTGCCTATAGAAGATTATATGTTGACAGTGCTGCTAGATGGACATGTCGGCGGTGACCACCAGTCTCAATGCTAAGAGATGTATAACTTATTATAATGTGGTATTATTTTTAACTTCTACAGAGCCTAGTTACAAAAATGTAAATAAGGGGGAAAATATGCTATTTAAGTTTACAGAAAAAAAATTTAAACCCAGAAAAAAAACTACACAAAAAAGTACAAAAAAATAAATCCGGTAATTGACATGCTCATTAAAATAGATATTGTTTCAATCGGCACGTTCTTGTCTGAGGATTGGTACTTGTTCATCCTAATTCGCATTCGCGCAGAATTTATGCGCGCACGGTTCACTGTTATATGTATTTGTATAAAACATTCAGACAGTCTGGTATAATATTATAAATATTGCATGTATTTGAGTGTAACACTGAAAATTTTCACCCCAGGAAAACCATTATCAACCGAGGCGCAGCCGTGGTTGACAATGGTTTTCTTGGGGTGAAAATTTTCAATGTTACACTCAACTACATGCAATATTTATATATTATTTCTTGGGTACAGTATACACTGGTCTGTATATTATGTCCGAATTAATAAATTAATTTCTTTTCCTTTATTTGGGATAATCCAAATTCGATTTACTCAATGCTTATACATCTCTTTACGAAACTAGTCATTATAGATTTCTCCCCCATCTATCCCACAAAGAGAACAAGAGGCCAATGGGCCGCATCGTTCACCTGAGTAATTTGGGTGATGCAGTTCTTTACCAGATTCCCCCTCTTGCTATACCTATCGTGCCCCCTACCTCCACCTCTTTCATGATTTTTATACTTTAGAATCTAAACTACCCCAGAATGCTTCTTCATAAGTTTCAGCTTTCCTGGCCCAGTGGTTTTTGAGAAGAAGATTCTTTAAAAAAAATTTCTTAATATATCTTTGTAAAATTGGATTCTCTATTGTGGCCCTGTACTATCCCTGGAGGTCATGATTTTAACAATTTAATACCAACACTACTCAGGGATGCTTCCACGTAAGTTTCAGCTTTCCTGGCCCAGTGGTTCTTGAGAAGATTTTTGAAGATTTTCACTTTACATTTCTATGTAAAACTTGGAATTCCCTATTGTGGCCCCGCCCAACCCCTGGGGATCATGATTTTAAAAATTTAATATCTACACTACTCCGGGATGCTTCCACGTAAGTTTCAGCTTTCCTGGCCCAGTGCTTCTTGAGAAGAAGATTTTTCAAGATTTTTTATATATATTTCTATGTAAAAATTGGATTCCCTATTGTGGCCCTGCCCTTCTCCCGGGGGTCAAGATTTTAACAATTTAATATCTACACTACCTAAAGATGTTTCCACATAAGTTTCAACTTTCCTGGCCCAGTGGTTCTTGAGAAGAAGATTTTTAAAGATTTGTTCTATATATTTCTATGTTAAACTTGGATTCCATATTGTGGCCCCGCCCTACGCCCGAGGGTCATGATTTTTTTCAATTTAATATTTTCACTGCCCACGGATACTTTCACATAAGTTTCAGATTTCCTGGCCTAGTGGTTCTTGAGAAGAAGATGTTTTAATGACCCCACCTTATTTTTGTCTTTTGTTGATTATCTCTCCTTGTAAGGAGATTTGGCCCTTTATTTTAACAATTTAAACTTCCCTTCACCAAAGGATGTTTTGTTCCAAGTTTGGTTAAATTTGGCCCATTGGTTCTTGAGAAGATGTCGAAAATGTGAAAAGTTTACAGACGGATAGACGGACCTACAGACGGACGGACAAAATGTTATCAGAAAAGTTCACCTAAAATGAAATAAAGCATGATCTTTCAAAAATACGCGGATTTATTTCACCTTAATCTCATTAAAGAAAATCTCTACATGTAATATAAATTTAGATTCCATTGAATAAAAATAATATAATTAAAAGTGATAAAAAATATAATGGAGAAAATTATATACATGTATTTAAAGTACTAATAATGAATTGATCCTTTATTATCTTCTTCTTTTCCTCAAGATTTCAAATACATTTTACGTTTATTCCATTGGAATCCACCCAGGATAAATGAAATCATCAATGGAATTATTTCGGAACTCTTTAGCAAAACCAGTCCCAGGTCTGAATATATTCTTATAAAATATACTGGTTCCTCGTGCCATCCATCCAATCCACCAGCCAAACGTCCCTACAGACATGATGGTATGATTGGCCAGAGAAAGTAAAGCCATGTCTTCTGCTGGGGAATTCCCTGTGGAGTAGTACACATTTGTTTCATTTGCTAGGGCCTTTTTAGACCACCCAATATCATTTGAACCCACAATAAACAATACCTTTTGGTATTTTGTTTTGAAATATTTCATGGCATTCTGATAATACGTTTCATTTGGTGTAAGTTTGCCGTACTTATAATGTCCTGCTGTTGCATAATCTCCTCTCCTGATATGTATACTGACAACAACATTATTTTTACTTGAACTAAACTTCATCTGATTCAGGATATCCTTCATCTGTGTGTAAGCTTTTTTCCGTATTTGTTCTTTGAAAGTTAGGATATCCCGAATTTCCTCTTCATATTTTATCCAGTATTTCCATGACTGATAGAAGCCATCAAATCTCACTCCTTTGGAAGGAGGGACACTGAGCAGCTTCTCGTCATATGACAGCCCCCATCTTTCTTTGTGTAGGGGGAGTTTCAAACACGCATTTTTCGGCTTCTTTATTGCCGAAAGTGTGGTCTTTTGTATATCAAAAATTTGAAACAATTCCGAGTTTTCAGGGACGATAGGGTATAATTTCTTAATTTTTGCTATCACGTACAAAAATACATATTCTATCATAAGATTTCCGAGTCGCCCCTGAAAGTTTACACATACAATTTCCTTAGAGTTGTTCTTGTCAAATATCTGTCTCTTCACAATGTGGATTTCATTAGATCTTTGTCCAGATATCCCAAGCCGTTGCCATGTTTGAAGTTTATACACGTGAAAAATGAAGAAAAGACACACAATCCCAAATGTTCCCAAAAGAAAACATTCTGGAAAAAAGTATTTTATTAAACATATGTTAAATATTCATTTGATACCTAAAAAATATATGATTAATCTTACAAAAACTTTGTTAATTCACTTATCTACAAAAGTATAATATATTTGTTCAGCCGTAATTAATTAAATGTATTTATAATAACTGTACATGGATATAGCTTGAACTGTCTTGAATTCTTACTTCTTATATAAAGTATCCGCATTCTGGCGTCAGCTTCTGAACATATCTGCAAAATAGGCATTAGTAATCTTAAATATTTTTACAATGAACATTGTATGTTAGAAAAATGTTCGTAATAAATTGTGAAAAAAAGTTCTAAAATAATTAGTTTATACACGATTCAATCAAATCAAAGAGCAACATTTAGAGTGGAATTAATTACTTGGAAACCATAACAACATCTTCAGTGTATTTTCATATTATACCACATTGTTTCACAGATATTTTATTGGAGGTAACCATGGAATTTTGTATAGTGTACCATCACGAAAGCTCAGTAAGTAGAGCACTCGAGCTGCAATCTGAGGGCCGGTGGTTGGCACGATAAGATATCTCACTGATCTAGGATCTTGATTCCTGAAATGGGAACTTATCTGAGGCCCTTAACGTGACTATAAAGACTTTTCTTTGCGTATGGATGTTAAATAACATACACTCAAATGTTTTACATGCTAGACAAATCAAATGAAGAACTTTTGACCTGTTATTAATAGACACAAACACTTTAAAGACTGATTCATGACGAAAAATATTTGTGATGACAAAGCTCTCGCGAACTTCGCGACAATTTCTCGCACGCAAATAAAAGTTGGTTTACAGTATATGTTTATATTTATATTTCCAATGTCTTTGTCAGACATAAAATTACCAATTGATTTATTTCCCCATCAATGTTTCGGTGCAGTTAAAAAAACACTTGCAGGCCGGGACAAACAGCGAGACAGAAGCAGTGCACGTGGATTAGCGGAATCAAAGCATGTAAATATAAGGAATAACTGTCAGAATTTTCAATTTCATGAAGATGATCAATTGATTGGCTTTGATAATTTGCATAAACACCGAAGACGTTTATGCATAAATTTATTAAGCAATTGTAAATGTACTTTATTTCCCCATCAATGTTTCGGTGCAGTTAAAAAAAACACTTGCAGGCCGGGACAAACAGCGAGACAGAAGCAGTGCTTGGAGCAC